TTTGATCCAAATCCTACCAAGATTAGAAGAGCTAAAATTATGATAGTGTTGCTCATTCTAAAAAATGCGATGAAAATTTAAAAACTAAGAATCCTCAATGGCAGAGGATTGAATATTGGCTTCTAAAAGACATAACAGCTTGAGGTTGTGAGTTCTGATAAGATCTTTGCACGCACTCACCTTGTCAGGTCTATTAAACCCCTTATATTCCAACAAGCTAGGGAGGGAAAAGGCATTAGGATTTAGAGGATTTGGCCTTCTTGGACGATTTCCCTCTAGTATGCTTAGAGAGGGGAGATGATTAAGCTTTTTAGGAAGTTGGGTTAGAGGAAGGGGGAACATTAACAGAGGAGTTAATGTCAGTGGATAATAGCAATGGACAAGTGTCGCAGGGGGATTAGCAGGAGTGTTATCCAGTTCAAGAGCAGTGAACTGGTTAGAAGTAAGGATATTAGGAGGATGGAGAATAGAGGAGTTAATGTTAGCCAGTTGAATAAGCAAGTTAGAGGAAGAGGATTCCTCATTCGGAGGAGAATTTAAGAAGGGTTGGCTTCTCGGGAAGAGAAGCGGGAGGTGAGGGTAATGAAGCATTTTCAACACTGGGACACTAAGAGCCTGTAGAGGGGGGAGGTAGATGATTAGTGGGTTCAGGTGAGGTGGGAGGAGGTTTAGAACTAGTAGTCCTGAGATGTGCTCAGGGATGCCGGTTGGAGCTTCTTCCTCTAGGATAGGGAGGAAGAGTGACATTTGTTTCAGGATTGGGAATTGAAGGGCATAGAGAGAAGGGGTGAATTAGTGAACAGTAGCCTTCACAGTGTTAAGGCTTCCAGTCATAAATCACTTTGAGGGATAAGTCTTCACCATCAATTGCCAAAGGAATCTCATTTGGGAGAGAAGAATCTTTGGAGATTTGAACACAGACCCAGACAAAATTTAGCCTGGTATGCTTTGCTGTTGTGGGCTCCGAAAATTCGGCCCCGGCCTCCGCTCGCTCTTTCTTATTCGGCGAGGGAGTTTTAACGAAATAAGTTCCGAGGTAAATTTTGGAAGGCAGATGGGTTTGTAGATAAGACACTACCCAGAGATTTCGCCCTCATTTTGCGAGGACTTTATGATCTGAGTTTTGGTTTCCTATAGGCGCAAGCCCCTATAGTTAATTACCCCTCCCGATCACGAGAGAGAACTTTCGATTAAGGCTAGTCGTCGATCAGATACGTATAGAGATACGTGTTATCTGGCATATAGTAGCAGCAATGGATTTGAGATTGGAAAAATTGGATATTGGTAGAATTTGGATTTGAGTTTGTGAATTTAGGAAGTTTGGATATTTGGAAGATTTGATATTTAAAATAGAAATTTTTACCATCTAGCACTTAAAGCGGATGGTGGGGAATGGATAATAGACCCGATCAAGATCCCATGGTTCCGTCATCCCGGGCCTTCTTCTTAAAGGAGATAGACATGTCCACTTTCCTGATTGATCCATAAGTGAATTGTGTTCATTTAGCATTTATTTATTCATTATTTGATGACTCAAATTTATTTTATGATCGATTTGAGTATGATTTAGTTCATTTAATGTTCAGTTTGAATCCATAAATCTTGTCCAAGTCCAAGTCCGGTGAAGCTTCAATATGAATCCTCTATTCATTTGAGTTAGAGTCCAAATGGTTCAAGTTCCCTTGTATCGCTTTCAAGTTCAAGCTTCTTGTTGTTCAATTCGAGTTCATTCGAGTTCTGTTTGAGTAGGTCCCCTGTTGTCCAAGTAAGTTCAATTTCCAGATGATATCATCCGGTTCAAGTTCACAAGTCCATAGTTCACTTGGTTTCAACATAGGTTCTCTTCGAGTCTTCGTTGTATTTCACATGCAAGCTCAAGTGTGATATTAAAACTTTTACTCATTTATAAGTCATTGCTTGAGTTCAAGTTCAAAACAGGTCTTCTGCATGTTTAAATAAAGTTCAGGCTCAATATGAGCCTCTTCCGTTTGAGTTCAAGTTGAGTTCACAATTGAATCAAGTCTTTCATGGTTCATTTTGTGTCCAAATACAAGTCCGAGCTCTTTTTTTTTTTTGTTCAAGTCCTCAGCATTCTCGAATGAAATTTCGGCAGCCTCCCGGCGTCTCCCCTGTTTAGGAGAATGACCAAGCAACCTTCCCCTAGCTACATGAGCGCTTTAAGTAGGTGTCAAATGACACCGCGGTTGTATATTTTTTTTAAATCCGAGCACATTTTTAAAAGAGCACAATTTATTTCCCCCCTCTGCACTACATGAGCGTTTGGAGGTACTTATTTTTATTTTTTATCCCCCTCGTCGCAAGTGCCGCACCGGTTTCTCTCCCTACTATGCTACGTGAGCACGTAGGGGGTTTGCCGGCTCGCCGCTAGCATTGCGCAAGCTCTGCGCCGGTTTCCCTCCCTACTACGCTACGTCAGGGCGTAGGGGGTTTGCCGGACTATGGCAAGCCACGAGAGAAAGATTTTTTAGTTAAGAAATTTATACCTTTGCACAGGGACGACAAGGTTATTGGCACATGTATCGAGGTAAGGAGAAGGGACACATTCTCTTTTTTTTAATTAATTATAATTAAAAAATTAATTATAATTAATTATAATTAATAATAATTAACTTAAATTAAAATAAATAATTTTAATTAATTTTAAGTAATTATAGTTAATTATTAATAAAAATAATTGACTATAATAACATTAAAAATTAATTAAAATTTATTTTAATTAAAAAAAATATTATTAATCAATGATTAAATATAATTAAATATTTAATTATAACTAATTTTAATTAAATATAACTAATTCATTATTATCAATTAATTAGTTATAATAAAAATAAAAGAAATTATGCTTGAATACAGGATTAGAACAAGACTAGTGTAGGATTTGAGCAAGATTAGAGTTAAACCCTATTTATTAAACCCCTTGGTTCGGCAGCTTTACGGGATCTGGCCGAAGAGACACGCAAGGGGGGGAGTTACCTCACGGTCAGTGAGCTCCAGTTGAAGCTTCCGATCGAAATGTCGTGTCTTCCGATCCAACAGGAAGGAGGCGTCGTAGAAGAAGCGGGATCGGACGACGGCAGAGGTAGGGAAGATGATTTCTCTTCTTCTCTCCCTCTCTTTCTCTCTTTCTCTTTCTCTCTCTCTCTCTCGGCCGGAGAAAATGAGAGGGGTCTCTCTCTCTCTCGGGGTCGGGCTCGGCGGGAGGAGGCGAGCTCGCCTGGGTGAGGTCGGACTGGATGAGGGTCGGTCGGAGTGGAGCAGGTTCTTGGGAAGGAGATCGGTGGAGAGGTGGGGCTTCGACGTCGGCTTGAGGTCTGGAGAGGGGTTCGGTCAGAGAGGAGGAGGGGATCGTGGTTTAGCGACGGGAGGAAGAGTTCGTGTGTGTGGCTTGGAGTCGAGAGCAGAGGGAAGCAGCGTTATCGGGAGAGAGTCGGAGAGGAGCTCGCGGTTTGGCCGTGAGAGTGGGATTCGGGAGTGAGCTGGAGTGCGAAGTGAAGTCGAGCGTCGAGAGCAGCCAGTGTCGTGGGAGATCGGCTTCTATTTAACGACACTTGTGGTCGTTCGATCGAGACGAGGATCGCAGGATTTACGCCGAATTTGCGGAGAAACGACTAATTCGGCGCTGAACAGCGGGATTTCAGCGGGATTCCGGGGATTTCAGTCGGGATTTCGGGCAGATATCGTGGATCCGCCGGGTATGATTTTGATGATGATTTTTTGTTCTACTGGTTAATACATAGAGGTTAACAGCTGTCAAGGAATCCACAGACACAGGAATACCAATGAAGCTGACAATTTTGGAAATATCATGGGGAGTCCATAAGGCTAGGGGGAGGTCAACTATTTTTATCCAGATGAGAATATATGCATCTTCATCTCTTATTGGTTTAAACTTGGGAGACCATTTTTGCAAAATAAATGATTTTCGGAGTAGAAACCAAGGTATGCCAGCCCAAATAGCATCATAATCTTCTTGAGAAGTAAACTTGATAAGAAAAATTCATTCACAAGAGAGGGTGATCACACCTTTTATAGGCCAAACATTTTTCATGGTGGCGAGGAGACACTCATAGTACGAGCGTTGGCCTATGGAGTAGCCAAACAAAATAGCGCCTAAAGAGATGAACCCTCAGAGAGAACTCCGGCAACAAAGGAGAGTTTAGGTAGAGGGGAGAAGACTTGGGGTTTGGAGGGGGAGCGACAGTTGTATCAGCATAATAAAGACCGGGGGTGAGGAAAGAAGCTGGCCCAACAAAAGAGGGACCGGAGGGGAGACACTCATAGTACAACCTCTCCCGGAGACGGGGGCCTCAGCAACGGCTAGGGCCAAAACATAGAGGAAAAAATCGCTCGAAGTACCTCCTTCCCCTCTCTTGTGTAAACTATTCCACTCTCATATCTCCTTTCTAGGTTTACATGAATAGAAATAAATATAAAACTATTGTCCTCATTTCACCATTATCCATTAAATAAGCATGAGCCGATTGTCAACTTGGCATTAGCTTAGACCAGTTGTAATTATTTATAGAAAAAAAAAATATAAATTTAAATAATGACTTTTTTTATTGATATTATGACTTCATTTAGGACAACTTTTTAATTTTTTATAATAAAAAATTGTTCATAAGTTATTCCAAATGAAGCATATATTCTACCATATTTGATTGTTAGAAATTATTTTTCACAATAATTTTTTTTTCTATGCAGCAAAAAGTTAAAAGTCAAATAAAATTTTTCAAAAAAGAAAAAAAAAACGAAATAAAAAAGTGAAAAACCTGTAAATCTAAGAAATGGGCCAATACACAACTCTCCTTGGCCTATTGGTTGAGAAAATTATTTTTCACAATAATTTTTTTTTTCTATGCAGCCAAAAGTTAAAGTCAAATAAAATTTTTCAAAAAAGAAAAAAAAAACGAAATAAAAAAGTGAAAAATCTAACAAAGTGATCCCTAAAATGTACAGGTAGAAAAGCCAAGCAAAAGTACTAAGTCATAATCATTATCCATTCATATTGAAAAACGCAATACTAATAAAACAGGACAAACAAAGTTTAATTGCAAGTTGCATCCAAACCCTTTCATCTATCTACCTACATTTGAGCACATACATGGCTGCTTAGGCTTCTTTTGGGACCGTTTCTTTTTTTTTTCTTCTTAAAATAACTTTTTAATAAAAAATAAGAAGCAATAAAAAAACCGTCCTAAATGAAGCTTAGTCTATTTATAAGATATGAAAAAAAAGCAGGGTTTTTTCTACATGCTGATGCTTTACCCGAGGTCTGGAACTGTAAAGAAATCCTCATCTTCCAGCATCCCAATTCGAGGATTCTTGTATGGCATGTTTGGCTTGGGAAGTCTATAGAAACTCTCACTGCTTGGTTGCTTGAACAGCATTTCAGGGACTTCAGCTTGAGAAAGTGATCCCTCTGATGCTCCTTCATGGGAGAAGCTAATGTCTGTAAACCATGATAGCTCTCCAAATCCAACTGAAGAATCCTTCTAAAGTGAAAGGGATATAATAACATCAAAACCATCAGTAATTTTCTGTTTACAACAAAGATGTAAAAGTAATTGGAATCAATGTACTACCTTGTAACCAGATTCATAGTCAGATAACTGAAGGAAATCATCAACGGCCCAAGCGGAAGGAATGGAGCTTGCTGAAGGTGTTTGTTTCTTCGCAGGGATTTTTTTACAAGTTTGAGTCATGGAATGGCCATTTGGAGGCTCAGAGTGATGCTTGTTGGAGTCCATATTTTGTGCCGAGATCAAGCCGACGCGAATGCCAGTAGCCAAGAGGCGCTGGTGATTGCCTGAGAGGGTTCCAGCAATGTGGATGGCCTCATCGCAATCCTGGCAGAAAAGAGCTCTGTCCTCCACACAGAAAATGAAAGCTGCTTTGTCCTAAAAAAGGACAGGGTTTGGGATGAAGCTTCATCAAATCAAAGTTCTAGAGTACATAAAATTTAGCTATGGACCTTTTACAGAAGCATATCAGCTAATAAGAATAAAAACAGCTACCATGTTGTAGAGTTTCAGAGGTTTGTGTATGATTTCTATCCCTTTTTAAACACTCTCAAAACTGAACTGAAGAAATAAGATTAAGCTTATAACAATGAGAAGTTATCTAGATCACTAAACTCATCGGTTCTTTAGATTTACATTCTTACAGATAAGTTTGAGGGGTGGACGGAAAGAACAGAAAAATATGATTGCAGAAAATCATCGCAAGCTACCTATTATATCAAGTTTAATTTCTGGAGTTTTCAATTTATTATAATATGCTCATAGATAAGCCAGTCAACTCTAAAATTCTAAATGTGACGACATATTATAGACTGGTAAACAAGAAATCTACAAACTCAAAGCTCACAGTTGCAGCTCAAAAATAAATTATTTATAAAAAAAAGTATATCAAAACAAATTAGAAAATTAAATAGCTGATCCATGGCATGGCCACCAAAGCCCTACATAGGGTCTTGGTTGGGTACCATTGGGTACCCATGCTCTGTGCGGGCGGGCTTCATCCACCCACGCCCACCTATGGTGACTTTTGGGATATCATATCCACCTATAATACCCACTCATTTTCCATGTGTTTTGAACGCAGTCCGCCATGGACTGATGTCCTTGAGGCTTGTTGCCCTTTGTTCTAACTACAATCTTTCTAGCCGCATATCAGAATTTTCATGGTCACAACGTGATTCAATGTTGCGCACTGCGTAGTGAGGATTGCGTTAATATACGACATACGGTGATTAGCAATGTAAATTGGTTTATCCCTTAATGTTGAGTACCCACCTGTGAGATCTCGTTCCTTTACTGTTCCTCTCTGAATTGGATTTTTCCTCCCAGGATCGGCCGGGACTATATTGAGATCGTCCAGGCCGATCAGTGCATTGAAAACGGCTGATTTCTGGAGTGTTTTTTGGAATGAATGTCAGACGAATCCTTTCACTATGGATGCCTGGGGCGTCACACCACCTATACCTGCTCACGAGGTCATGAGCATACCCATACCCATATGGTCTGGGTGGGTAAGTGGGTGGGTGTGGGTATGGGTACCCAATGCAGGGCTCTGATGGCCACTCACTTCACAATAATAGTTAATGAGAAATAAATTCTAAACGTGCATATACACTAAACAGATAGTAATTTACTGTCACATGCAATTGAGTGTCCTCAGAGTGTCACAACAATGGCACATCTGAGGAAAAAAAAAACACCAAAACATCTATGGCTATTTCGATATCAAGCTATCATCTTTGACAATTGCAGCTACAAATTACCAAAAGAAACTTCTTTTTTACTTGAATACTTTCTTATACCATAATTAGCAAGAAGGAAGCTCAAAACTTGTGTGTATACTAAAAAAACGCAACTAAGTTAATAATCTAAAGAATTACTAAATATGAATTTATAGGATTTACTAAATCTTACTTAAACCAAGCAACCCCTTATAAGAGTGCTGCATCAACTACAGATCCCAACAAGATAATCATTCAAAGCAACCATGGCGGTTTAAGGTGAAGGCTTTCATCTTTAAAACAAAGATACAAACAGCGAAAAAGCAAAGTTATTTTATAACTGATTGAAAACCTGGAAAATATCATATGCCGAAATTTTTTTAGGATTTAACTGCCTTATGATATAATAATTAAAGATTTACAAAATCCTACTTAGCATAAATCGTACTTGCAGCCAAGCAGCCTCTTACCGTTCTGATGAATCCAGTTTACAAGATCTAACGGATTCCTATCTCTCACAGATCTCAAATCCTTAAGCAAATAGTCAAATAGTTTATCAGGAATTAACAAGATTTAACGGTCGTCTATTCTAAACAGTTCTCAGGCTTTAATCCAATCAAGTTTCCCTAAATCTAGATTTACAGGATTTACTAAAACCTGCTTGTAGCCAAACAACCCTTATAAGAGTGTTGCATCAAGTACAGATCTGCACTAAGAGCAAGATAATCAATCAAAGCAACCATGGCTACTTAGGGATAAAGTTTTCATCTTTCATAAATTATAGAAAATACTAAAAAACAATTTTCTTTTAACTGATTACAGTCCAAATACCTGGCAAATATCGCATCGTGGAAGCTTGGAGGTGTCGCAGCTGAGAGGAAGTCGACGGTGTTTTCCGGCAAGTTTGTTGGCTGCGTGGACTTCCACATCGCATTTGGCGCAGAGCGCCGCCTCGTCGGCGCAGCAGATCACCGCCGCCGCAGCCGTCTTGCACACATCGCAGCCAATCCTCATATCTCACACAGTCTGCCTTCACTAGGAGATATCTTGAAGACTTTGGGGAGGCAAAAGAGCACCTTTTGAAAGCTAAGATGATGTGTTTGTACAGAAAATATGAGATTTTTAAGAAGAGGTGTCTAGAAATAAGAGGATATTTGTTGCTCGGAGAACATGGTAGAGTTGATAAAAAATTAATGCGGATTCCCTCATCTCTGTGCATGCTGGCAGGATATGTGGCGCTGGTCGCCCGAGAGAATTCGTGGCTGCGAGAGGTCATGCCAAATTCGTCGTCTCCCCTTGTTGATTTTTATAAAGAATTCCCTAGAAGTGCTTCGGTCTTATCACCAAATTTATCTCGTATGTGTTTCTGACTAAAATTGCTCAAGTTTAAAAATTTTCATGTTTAATAATAATAGTTTTTCTCTTTTTATTAGAGAGAGACCAATTTAATCCTTAATCAATCAAATATTTTTCAAGTATATATTACTTTTTAATTAAAATTTTCTAAGCAAATAATTTTTCTTAAAATTATTATGTATTTAGAAAAAAATATTTTCAAATCTATTATCAATAATGAATTAAACATTTTTTTTGCAAAGATGAGAGGCCAGGATCAAATATATTGTCAAAAAAATAAACTATTAGAACTCTGAGATCAGGTAAACAAAACTATGAGGCAAATAAAACGAAAATATTAGGTGGACTAACTCAAATAAAAAAAGATGAAAGATGAAATAAGCAAAGCAAAAAATTACAATTGTATGTCAATCTAAAATCTAAAAAAAAAAGAACTTTTAATCAGTGAATCTGTGTTAACACTCATAAGCTTCAGTAGTCCACACAATTGAATCAGGATTGGATGGGCTCAGACCACAACGTTGCAGAGGGAAAGTCAAAAGTGGTTGCTTTCGCGGTAATTAGAGCTAAAATCAAGAACAAACAAAAGGGACAGGTTTCCTAATAGCCAGAATCTAGAATAAAAAATCAATAGAGCCAAGTAATGCAACTTGGACAGCTGGAGGGAGGAAGGCCATGGCAATACTGAAATAAATATAGAGTCATTTAAGAAATAATAGAAGTGTCGCTGAAACAATATTAAAGCATACCAACTAGAGGGATCCCCAATAATTAGCAAAGATCAAACCTCATCAGGGGGAGCTATTATTCTTTGCGGACACCGGACAGTTCTCCCGTCTGGTTACGCGCTCGATAACGAGCGCGGTACATTTTTGAGGTGATGTGGTATATTTTTTTTGGTCTTCGGATTCTCCGGGTTCCGCACAAAATAAAAATTCCATCAGGGGAGTGATCCTTTATCTTCTAATTACTAATTTTATAAGGCACAACGTTTTCAAGTGCAAGGAAAATAGCTAGTATGGATTTATGCCCTTTGGTTTGAAGTTTAACAAGACACAATGGAGAAAAAAGATTCATGTATCTTACCCCGCATAATATGATAAAGGTTTATTGTTGTTGTTGCTGCTGCTGCGTAGTTTATCATTTATCACCAGTCATAAAGTATACAGTAAAGCTGAATTAATAAGAAGGCACAACGTTTTAACTGCTACAATTTTGCTTGCGGCGATTACAAAATCATTGCATAACAGCTGTAGTTGTAATGTGCTGTGAAGACATTTTGCGGAAGTTCTGTGACCGCTGTGGTAGACATACAATTATAGCAGCGGTTTAAGCTGCTACAAAATTACAGAATTGCAGTGGGCATAACCGCCAAAATCTACAAAGCAATGGTTTGTGAGATAAGGTAAACAAAACTAGGTATAGTCTTTTAATGATCTTATGAGAATGGTTTGTGCTATCATCTAAAATTTGTAATGCCATAGGAATTTGACCATGTGATCAACTCCACATACTATAAATAAGCAAATGATTGGGTTAACTTGGCATTGAAGATGGAGCTGAATATTCTATCCAAATATTTCCATAAGAGAAAAAACTTTTAGACAAGGATCAGTGAAAAGAAAATATTATTGCCATCCCAAGAGAGAAAGAGAACAATTGGTGTATCTTAGTAGCAATAGATTCATGTTCTTTCAACAAAAAAGAGATTTTGTTTTTTTTTTTTTGTTTTTGGTCAATTAAATCAATAAGAAGCTTTACGCCATTTGCTAATCTAATTATTGGTAGAATAAAAACTTCATCTTGCATAAGGTGTTGGGATTAAATAAAGAGTGAAAGCCTATTCCTCCTCTGTATTTTGGGCTGGTGGTATTGTTTAAGGAATTCAATTCCATATTTTTTTAGGCTATCAACTTGATGATGGTAAACTTTGTTAGTACATATTTAGGAATGATATCGATCTGAACTAATATGAAAAAAAAAAATCATAATAGAATATCTTGTAAGTTGGAAAGGTTAGTAAGGTAATGCAGCTTAAGTTTTCAAAGATAACATGGTAATCATTATAAAAAATTGGCTAGTCTTTAGTAATATTACCAACTATTTCATAAAAAAGTTCCTAATTGAATACCCACAAATTATAATACTTCTTCAAAGAGAGAATAGAAGTAGAGAAATAAATACCAATATCTTAAAGTTAGGTTGAAGTCTCATGTATTTAGCCAAAATAACAAGGCTATGACTAAGGCTTTATTTGAGACAACTTTCTTACTACTTAAAGCAGCTTTTCAGTACAAAAAATAAAATTTTTGCAGTCAAATTAAGCTACTTTAAGAAGCAGTAAGAAAACCATCCCAAACGATGCCAAAGGGAAAAGAGAGTAGCAAAAAATGCTTTCCTATATTTCATTATTGATGATAAAGAGCTAGATAATTTTAGCAACATCCTCATATAGAATATAAGAAAAACAGTCCACAATAATCCTTAAAAAGAATAATGCTAAGGGGTAACCTTGTCTTTAACAATTAGAAGATTGGAAGTAGCCTTTTTTTTTTAAACGAACACTTATATTATATTAATGCCCAAAAGGATTACAAGAGCAAAGAAACAAAAGTACAAGAGCAAAAAGAGCAGATGGCAAGGAAAAAAAGAAATTACATGGGAAAACTAATCCCGGGGGCTCAGTATTTGGCCGAGACTATCAGCTTCCCAAAAAACCATGCTCAGACCGTCCAATTTGGTGAAGAAGCAAACGAGAAACAGCCATCCCAACCGAGCAGAGGATCTCCACCAAAGGTTGCCAAGAAACATGCCAACTGAGAAACGAGCCCAGCCACATCATTGCCCGACCAATAAAAAATAAAAATCGGAGAGCACCAAAATACAATAAAAAAGTAACAAGAACAGCCAACCAAAAAGACACGATGAAGTAGGCAGGAAGCAAAAACCCAACACCACCCACAGAAATTATCTTCCACGTCTACCCCTTCCATGAGCCCTTCCACGAGAAGCACTAGAAACAACCTTAGTGTCCCGCAAAAATGCAAAAGAGTTCCCTGTATCCTTAACCCCATCAGACTCAAAGGAGGAAACAAAATCAGAATCATCAGACGACCCCTGAAGCCAATCAATATGCACACGCAGATCCAACCCAGAGTTGTCACCCACGTGATAAACCAAGTCTTGAGGGTCAATAACATTAACAGGCACATCCACAAACAGGCTATGAATTAAATCGGCATCCACAGGGGTAGTCACACCCCCAACCCCATCCAAATTACCATTAACAGTACCAGACCCAATCAGATCATCCACAACCACAGGGGTCATAGAGTAACTAGCTAAAGCGGTCGGGGCAGAAAACACCGACACCAAGGGACCAGAATTAAGAGCACAACCCGAATTAGCAACAGCACTGTTACAGGCCTTAGGGGATACAACAGAAGGTAATACCCCAGCTACATCAGCAACAACCTTAACAATAGAAACAATACCATTATTCTACTTAAGAGGCAACAAACTAATAGAATTCGTAGCAGGCGAGCCCAAATCAGTAACAGATGGGACAAAGGGTAAGGCATCAGGGGATAAAACAGTAGCAGCACCCATAAGATTACCTACTTGATCACCGGACACAGTATTCACCAAATTAACAACAGACATTGGGGGTATATTATCGGACAAGTTAAGAGCAACCATAGAGCCCTCAATCACAGAAGCTCTGCCCACAGGGAGCCGCCGTCCCACATTATCAGAAACAGGAATGTCACAAGGACCCTTCGCAATCTGTTCCTCATTAACGACCAACGAAGAATTGACAATAGCACCACTTTTCGCATTAGCAATAGGCAAAACCTCATTCACCATTGATGATCATATTAAAGAGACATTTTATAATACAAGCTTTCACCCAATTATGAATTAGTTATGAAAACCTTTATAAAAGAGTCTATGAAAAAGTGCTTCTTTAACCATAATTTACTTTATGCAATTGATTTAACATATATTATTTTCTCAGAGCTTTTCCTCTTAAAGTTTACAATATGTTCTAAAACAAGAGAAATATTATTAGAAATTTCCCTATTTTGAATGATATTTACTTGAGTTGGGTGGATAATTGGAGTAAGCATTATTTTGAGATGATTAGCATGCATTTTAGCAATGGTCTTAAGAAAGTGTTGTAAATCAAGATGGATCTGAAATCATTCAAGGAATTGGCTTGTAAGTTTATGAGGACTAGAATGGTAACAATATGTTTATCCATATATAGAAGCTTACTCATTTAAAAAAATTGGTGCACAGCCTAATTCAATTGAGGGTCAATAATTAATGGCCTAAGTAGAAAGGAAGAAGAGGGAGATGAACACATCAAGGCATTAAGTTTTACTCAAGGCCATCTTAATATTTTCATTGGATGTAGAGGAGGAGAGGATGGCTTATAAATTCTTTGGAAGAACATGCTCTATGGGAATAGCATTATGTTGTGGTACAAAAAGTACATGTTAGTGTATAAGTTAGAAAAGTATTCTATAGCAGGATGGGCAACTTCATAAGAAGTAGTGATGTTTGTTTGAGGGGTTATAATCTTTTTCATATAATTTATTTTTTTTCACTTGGCCTTAGCCTTTAGATAAAGGAAATGTTGTTCATATTCTTGTCTAGTGAGCCAGGAAACCTTAGCTTGTTGTTTAAGCTAGGGATAAAAGAGCAGGATGGGAAGCCTCTATCAACTTGTCTTGCACAAGCTTAAAGCACATCAACAAATAAGGATTAAGAGAGCCCCTATTTAAGAGATTGAATAGACACATTTTATCTACTTTGAGATTAGATGAAACTTGATGTAAGGAGTTAGCACTATTCCACACT